TCCTCTTACAAACTCCTTCTGATGCACCTTGTACTTGTTAACTGATCTTGACACTTCTGGCCTTGACACCTTGAACCTATCCATGACCCTCTTATCATGGAATCTAGTTCCCCTTCAGATCTTACTCTCTTGAGCTGATCAAGTTGCTAACCGAAACTTTTACCCTTCAGCTGAACCATCAAGACATCTTCTAAAACATAAAACTTGTGACTCACTCCACTTAGAATCAGATTATATATCCCTGATGCATCATTCCTCATATAATCTCAGTGACTCCACCTGAATCAAATAACCTTTAGAAGTACCATGTCTCTGGTATTTAACCAAGTTTCTGCAACTGTTTGTGGTTCCTGTCGGCCTTTAGACAATTTCTCTCATCATCAACGTCTGTGATGCTCCTGAGATAATCCTTACAGCTTCTCTTGTGTCAAACTCAAACCTATGACGAGTTTCTTCAGCTGTAATTATACTTGAACCATAACTTGTTCAAGCAAGAAGTTTCGACCTGGTCAAGTCTGCAAATTTCTCCTTTTGCTGCTGAGCTTCGATTTTTGTCTGAGAGCTCCACCTTGACCCCTCTGGTCGTGACACCATAACGGCGTCCCTTACTTCTCCTTTGAGTCTATTCATCTTGAACTTCCGACTCAGACATCCATGACGATTCCTCTAAGGTATAACTCACACATGCTTCTGCTAGCTGTGGTAGCGACTTCCTGCTTCTTGAACAAGTGTTGATGACTGTTGTCTCATACCCGTTACTCTCAGGATTACAATCAGTCGTAACGACCTGTTCAACCCGATCTGCCTGCGCATTTTCCTCTGCCTTTGACAAGAATCTTCAAGCTAAGTCTAACCTTGAATCGCCTTTTCTCTTAGGTTTTCATGTCACTCACACGACCTCACTAAAGCTGCTCCATGTTGTTACCGCAAATAGCCATTTGCTCCAACATACCCTTGTGTAGGCTTTTACACACTTTGTCCTTGCTCTAGTTTCTTCTTCGTGGAGGTACAACCTGTCTTAGTCAAACAAACTTGGTGAATCCTCTGGCTTTCTTCAAGTAGCCAGAAACTTTGCCTCTCATGCACCCACGAGACTGACTTGAACTGACCAAAACAGAATCACCTCTGCTTCGTCATATTGTTGTCACACGACAACCAACCTGTGTAGCTGCAAGATCCGTTGATCATCTTTCGCAAAGACAACCTGCATTCCTTGTGATCTCTGAAAAAACTTCAGTCCCTGAGAGATTGATGAACTTTGATTTCGTCACCTTAAGCCTAGCTTTGACTTAATATGAGTCTGTCTTTAACTTGAGATATCCTCCATCCCAGACGACCCAAATCAATCTCCAACATTAATCACGAAAACGCCCACATGTGCAGCTGTTGTTGTTGCAGCTTACGCAGGTCTTCCCGTTCTTGCAAACACAGCTGCATCCCTTGCAAGTCTCTCATCATGATTTCCCAAACCTGAAACCATCACGTGCATTAAGATCCTCCTGTGAACGTTTCTTCCTCTGTCCCTTCCTGACGTCGTCTTTGTCTACCACAAAACAACCGCCATCTGCTCCTCTCTCCGATGCTGCATATCTTAAGCATCATCCCCTGTTCGTCACACATGATGTGATAGTGACTACAAATCTACTGATTCTTTTTCTCCAGAATTTATCCAGCTGATGTCGATGCTACCTTGAAGCTCTTACGGAACCTGAATCACCACTGCCTCAAACTAGAAGCCCTTTGACTCAATACCATAACAAACCTCAATAGCCTGTAGACACCAAACTTCTTCTCCTGAGAATTTCTTTTGTAACAACCTGAATGAACACCTTGTCTTGAACACTCTCTGAACCGCTGCTGTTGCCAACAGAACCCGCCGCTTAGCTCAACTTGCTAAGAAGTCTTTCGACGCAAAGAATCCCTGCTCAACCTCTGCTCAAACAAACCATTACCTCTCTGCAACCGTGATACCTTGTATACCCATTTGTTTCCCCTCATATGCCTGAGAAGCCAAAATAAACTACTACTAAATCCCATGCAGAAAACCCGAAACAATCTTGATTTGACGCCGCTACCTGTTCAGCCGAACTCTGCCTTGAACAAATAACTCCTCGTTCTCGCAGATCCATCCCAGCAGAAAACTATGTGTTACGCCAAACACATATCTGCTTAGAAAACCACACTGCATTCCCTCTGAAAATAGCAGCCTTGTAGTATCTTGTTCTCTGAACATCTACCCAATTGTAGACTCTCACAATCATACCTAGACAAACCATGCATCAGCCGATTTACTTCAACTCTTCTGCAACACCCTTGCACGCTGACTAAAGAATACCATCTGATACTCGAACAGCCATGATAACTTACAGACCATGAAGAAACCCGAAACTCCAATAAATAAAGTCACACATGCCTTGTGACTGCAAATCCTGGACAGCTCTGAAACCTCTCTTCCTTATGCTAGCAGTCTGCCACCATCTTATCTTGTGAGTAACATGAAGTATTTCTCACATAGTAGCACCTTCTTGCACCTTTGGAGAACTCTAGAGAACCCTGACTTCAAGCTAGAAATCATCTCAACTGATTCAACTGACTTCTGAATCTTTCCTCCATAAACTTGTGCAACTGCCGCAAAGAACGTTCAACAGTTTTCCTTCGTCTCTTGTAAAACGAAAAATCTCTTTAACCTGATCTTGATCTCGGTTTATCCTCTGATTTTTGCACTAACCAGATTTCCACGTGTGTAGAACCATGTGACCACCAGCTTCCACTAAACCCTGCGATTCTTCTTTATCGCTTGGAAGCTCCTTCATATGTCTCTCCTCCTAGAGACGTGGACTCCGCGAATCGATGAGTCTGAGCTCTGATACCACTTTGTTGGCGCTTGGATACCATTTGTACTGTTATGATACCCACTTGTTACGGAAGCTAAGCTCTGGACCTACTCATACCAATTCACATATAGACTTGTTCATGACTCAAGACTTTTTCACCCAGTTCACGGCCGCAGCGCGCTACCTCTGGGGTGGATTCAGAGATCCACAACATCCACTATGAAGTATCGGAAAACACCTCCGATGTGGTTTACAAGATCATTACTCTCTCTGTCCTGGGTATGCAAACCCTAGAGAGTATACAAGAGATAATACAAGAGATTACATGGCTAAGAGCTAAGACTAGAATACATATAGATCTCTAGCTTACTCTATCTCTCTAAGAGATGCCATGGAAGCACTTCTCTTAGGCTTGAGGCTTCAGCCTCCAAGAGGCGTGGCTTGTGCTTAGTGCTTAGAGATCCCTGTCGTGATCTCTCCTCCTTTGTATTGGCAACACTTAACCTAATGGGCTTTAATGAATAGCCCATAAGTTGTCCGCGCGTAACTTGTCCAAAGCCGGCCCAAGTTGAACACGCCTGATGGGCTTTGACCAAACCTCACATGGGGCATTACATTATTTTTGTTTTATGTAATCATTAATCATTTAATCAGCAAACATCATATAAGTTTAATTTGGATTCGTTGAAAGACTTACACGCTCATCTCCTTACCAATTCAAAAATAAAAAATTACCAAAAAATCATATTATATGTTAGGACCTTTTTTGTTTAAATGTTGAGACCATTTTAAACGTATAATTAATGCATGCTAAAACGAGGGATTCAACTATTCAGTCATCAAGAAATAAAGAACATGTAACAACACCACAAAGAAAAACAAAAACATATGTGATCAAATTAAGACGATTTTATGATGGGATTATATAAAGATAGGTGGTTATCCAAGTGATATCAATATAGCTACTTAGTACATATACACTTGAATACTATACAGGGGCGGAGCCACCGTTACGATAGGGGGTCATGTGACCCCTACAGATTCTGATAATTTTTCTTTTTACTTGAACAAATTTTATGAAATATTGAAAATATAGTTTATGTGACCCCTATAACATATGGAATGAAATGGAAATGACCCCAGTGAAAAGTATGGCTGGCTCCGCCACTGATACTATAGTACAATTGCATAGAGTTAACCACTAGAGACTCTACCTATATATAATTTACATGATTGTATGAATGTACTAGTCTAGTGATGAACTTTATTGACAAATAACCAATGTTAAAAAAAATCGGTAGACGGTAATTAAGGATTTATAAAGGATTTCTAGACCAGAGATTGCAAGATTAATGAACTGATATATAAATATCTATCTTTAACTGTGAAGCATTCCATAGATGAAACTGATCATATGATTATTTGCAGAATGTATCATCATAAGGGGAATATGCACGGTTTCATGAAGAGGTAAAATCATACATCTCGATTTTGGCTGTGCTTTATAAAGCAATTATAACGGCAGAGATGCTAAAAACTGACATTGATCAATACTACTTGCAGAATGTATTGGGAAAAGAAGATTGTAGAATCGACCAAAGGATCTGGAGAGGCTCTTTCTCTCAATATTTATCATTCTAGATAACAAGGTTTATTGATATGTGATGTGTTCATGATCAAGTTAATTTGGTTTCTCACATGATTACTAGAAGTGATAGTAGAGTAGATTGGAGAATATATATGTGCGTAATTGAATTTGATCTATTGGTTTGCGGAGGCCAGTCAAGAGTTTGGTATCAATGACAGTAATAAAGAAAGAGATGAAAGCTGAAGACCAGCTCATCAGAGATGACTCTATTGATCCCAGAGCTAAAAAATAGTATTTAAGTAAACTCTAAACGCCTTGTTGTTGTTTATGTTAAGAGGATCTTGATCTGTGATATGTATTTTTTAAGATGACTGATTGTAGTGATGCTCAGAAACAAAATAATTTGAGGGTAATTAACACAATCGAATTTAACAGGACAAATAGCCAAAGATCTAGAAGTAGAAGTCAACTTCTTGAGCTGCTTTACAACTTAGACGTCAATGATCTCATAAATCTGATGATTTTTTATCCTTTTTCTTTCATGTCTTTTAACTTGGTTACAAATTAGATCCCGATTCTCATATTTGAAGATCGTCTATAGATAACTCGTTTGCAGTCAGAAGCTTCAGTTTCTGTGGGACACAGAAAGAGATTGAGAGGGTGGTGATTCATAGTTTGTCAAATATCGGTGTGTCAATTATGTATGTGGCTTACCGTTATGAACTGTAGAGGATCGTCGAGGCTTGTGGACCCGAGGATTACTTCTCTTTTGAGTTTCGTTGTTAGTTTGTGGCACACTTTTAACTGGACAAAACAAATAGTATAGTAAGAAGAGATCATCATCATATAGTTCTATGGGTTGATTTCTGTAAAAGATTTTCTTTCCTTGGCCTCTTACCTCTGATCTTGTTGCTCCACCAACGATAAACACAAATATTCGTTGCCCCATCTTCTTGAAATCACTAGACGAATGTGAAGATGTAAGATGTCCGCCCTGAAGTAGTCGCTGACGTAGTTGTTGAGGCAGACGTCGTGTTGAGTGGTGAAGACCATGTGGAGTCAAGATGCTGAGCTGGAGTCGTGTAGACTTGGAGAGCAAGGGTGTATCTTGGAGAAAAGGCAAGAGGAATAAACTTGAGGAGCAAGTTTATGACTTAAAGAAAGAGGAATAAGTGCATTTCAAGAAAATGAAAGTTGTACTTAATGTTATGGAAGATGTCCATATTGTGTTCCTTGGAGACTAGGGTTTCAGGAACGTGGAGAATAAGTATAAGACAGCAAGGGGGTCGTCTGTAGAGAGACAGAGACACGGAGGCTAATCTTATAGAGAGAGAGAAGCTCTTAAGGTGTTCTTGGGTCGTGCTGAAGCAGAGGCTGAAGTACTTGACGGCAGAGAGACATAAGTGAGTAGCTTAGGAATCTTTCAGTGACGTGTGTTAGGGTGTTAACACTAGACGTGTAAAGCTGAATAAACANTGCTGAAGCAGAGGCTGAAGTACTTGACGGCAGAGAGACATAAGTGAGTAGCTTAGGAATCTTTCAGTGACGTGTGTTAGGGTGTTAACACTAGACGTGTAAAGCTGAATAAACAAGGTCTTGTAAAGATTGTTTAAAGAAGATTTGAATAAAGCTATTGGTGTTTTGTCTCTTGATTTACCTTCTGTACTACCTTATTATGGTGCCATCTTTGCACTTACAAGTGGTATCAGAGCGGGGCACCTAAGTTATTGGTGTAATCCTGAAGGTGAAGATGGACACGATTATTTCGGTGCAGAAGGCAGTCGTGTTGAACGCGGACCAGTATGGTCATTGGAAGGCTCGCATGAAGCAGATGATTCGAGGAATCAATGAAGATGCGTGGACAGCTGTGGAGAGTGGTTGGGAGGAGCCTACCATAGTCACAGGAGATGAGAAGAAGCCCAAGCCAAAAGAAGATTGGTCAGAGGCAGAGCGCAATGCATCAAAATATAATGCAAAGGCGTTGTCAGTGATTTTTGGAGCCGTTGAAGCAGAGCAGTTCCAGCTGATTCAGGGGAGTACTTCAGCTAAAGAGGCGTGGGAGATCCTGCTGAATTCGTTTGAGGGAGATGAGAGTGTCAAGAGGACACGCCTAGATCATCTTGGGTCGCAGTTTGAGAATCTCAGATGGTCGGATGCTGATTCTGTGGCGAGCTTTAGTGCCAAACTCAGTGCTATGGCACATGAAGCATTTGTACTTGGGAAGAAGTACAAGGAGAAGAAGCTAGTAAAGAAGTTACTACGCTGTCTTCCAAAGAAGTTTGAAGCTCACAAGGCAGTCCTGCAGATGACTACCAACACGGATGAGCTCAAGTTTGATAAGCTTGTGGGTATGCTGAAGGCACAAGAGATGGAGACAGATAGTAGTTCAGTCTCTACGTCAAGCAGTGCGCCAGGGAGTATAGCGCTTGCAGCTGACAAAGATGGTGATAGATTCCAGAAGCNCACGGATGAGCTCAAGTTTGATAAGCTTGTGGGTATGCTGAAGGCACAAGAGATGGAGACAGATAGTAGTTCAGTCTCTACGTCAAGCAGTGCGCCAGGGAGTATAGCGCTTGCAGCTGACAAAGATGGTGATAGATTCCAGAAGCTTGAAGATACTGTGGGTATGTTGGCTAGGAATTTTGGTAAGAAGATTCATTCTAGTGGCAGAAATCAGTATGATCGTCAAGGAGGTGATCGTGGCAATGGTAGAAGAAGAGACTTTATCAAGTGCTACGAGTGTGAAGGAGTTGGTCATGTGAAGGCTGACTGTCCTATGGCACAACGAAAGGAACTTAAGTGTTCTGAGTGCAGAGGTGTTGGACACACGAGGCGTGAATGTCCAAACTCAAAGAAGGGAAAAGGAACTCAGTCGTCTGATGATTCAGAGTCTGAAGAAGATAACAAGGTGTTGAAGAACATGGTTGCATTTGGTGCACGCAAGAAGGGATCTAGTGAATCCACTGATTCAGATCGCATCACAAATGATGAGGAGTATCATGTGCTTCTCAACAAGTGGTTGAGGGTCAAGGATCAGAATCTGAGATTGGAGAATGTGGCTCAGAAGCAAAACGAGTTGCTTGAAGAACTTCGTGAGGAACTTGCGGCTGTAGAAGAGAAGAATGAGTCTCTTGAAGAAGAAATTAGCAAACTGAGAAGAGTTGCTACTGGTGAACAAGAGAGAGCAAGGAAGCTGGAACGTGATTTGGCTGAGAATCACAAACAGATCAGAATGCTCAATAGTGGATCCAAGGAGTTGGATAAGATACTCTCAATGGGACAACCAGCCAAGGCAAATTGGGGACTGGGATACCGAGGAGGTGAGAGTACTGGCTTACAGCAGAAGGGGCGGTCACAGTTCGTGCAAGGGAGCACTTCAAAAAGTGAAGCCAAAGATGTTCGTCAGGAAGTACGTCGGGACGTACGACAAGGAGTACGGCAGGAAGTTCTATAGCGCGTGGCTGTGAGTAACAAGCCGAAAGTGGTACATCAGTGCAGCAACATGAAGGTCAGACATGAGGTTCTGAAGCATGGTTGTGCATCTGGTACAAGGAAGGAGACTGATCGGTGCATCAGTAACTGTGTCAGGCCCAAGAAGAAGCAACATCGGATGTGCTGCTGGTTCTGTGGGAAGGTTGGGCACAAGAAGGTGGAGTGTTTTGCTCGTGAGAAGAGCAGAAACATGGCCAAGAAGGTGAACAAGACGTTCACTAAGTCCAAGGGGGTTGAAGAGGTGTTCTCAGCCAAGAGTGGCTTACTTGATGAGGTCAAGAAAGGGACATCAGAGGAAGGATGCAGCTCTAGTGAGAGTGATCTTGAGGTTGATCAAGAAGCATCAAATGTGGAGCCAGGACACGGAGTTGTTTGTGGTTCAAAGGGGAAGGAGATCGAAGTGCGTCAGGAAGTGATGCGAGATGATCTTCAGGAGGGTGATAGCGAAATCACTCCAAGACAATAGCAACGAGTGCAGAGAGCACTCGGGGTGGATGAGGAGGGGCTCATGGTCAAGGAGACGACGCATGAAGGAAGCCAAGTCCTCAACAGAAGTGGGTCGAAAGGTAGTTCGATAGGTGCGTCAGATCGTGATGCAGTACTTGTAATCTATTCCGCTGCAGCAGTGGCTGTATCATGATTACTGTGATGGAAGGCTTGACATCTAAGCATATGTGTTTTAGCTTAGTATGCAATCAAGCAGGAGGAGAAGTGGTGATGTTCTGGTCCAAGGAGTGCATATCTCATGGGGGAGAAGAGCATGGTGATGGACGTCCTGAAGTAGATGGTGCTTATCTCATGGGGGAGAAAAGCATGGTGTGGTGCACATCTCGTGGGGGAGAAAAGCACATTTGGTATGGAAAGTTCCAAGTGAGGAACGTGGTTGTTGAACCAGAAGGATGTTGTGCTTGATTGGCACACAAAGCTAAAAGGGGGAGATTGAAGATGTAAGATGTCCGCCCTGAAATAGTCGCTGACGTAGTTGCTGAGGCAGACGTCGTGTTGAGTGGTGAAGACCATGTGGAGTCAAGATGCTGAACTGGAGTCGTGTAGACTTGGAGAGCAAGGATGTATCTTGGAGAAAAGGCAAGAGGAATAAACTTGAGGAGCAAGTTTATGACTTAAAGAAAGAGGAATAAGTGCATTTCAAGAAAATGAAAGTTGCACTTAATGTTATGGAAGATGTCCATATTGTGTTCCTTGGAGACTAGGGTTTTAGGAACGTGGAGAATAAGTATAAGACATCAAGGGAGTCGTCTGTAGAGAGAAATAGACACGGAGGCTAATCTTATAGAGAGAGAGAAGCACTTAAGGTGTTCTTGGGTCGTGCTGAAGCAGAGGCTGAAGTACTTGACGGCAGAGAGACATAAGTGAGTAGCTTAGGAATCTTTCAGTGACGTGTGTTAGGGTGTTAACACTAGACGTGTAAAGCTGAATAAACAAGGTCTTGTAAAGATTGTTTAAAGAAGATTTGAATAAAGCTATTGGTGTTTTGTCTCTTGATTTNTTGACGGCAGAGAGACATAAGTGAGTAGCTTAGGAATCTTTCAGTGACGTGTGTTAGGGTGTTAACACTAGACGTGTAAAGCTGAATAAACAAGGTCTTGTAAAGATTGTTTAAAGAAGATTTGAATAAAGCTATTGGTGTTTTGTCTCTTGATTTACCTTCTGTACTACCTTATTGTGGTGTCATCTTTGCACTTACAGAATGTCTCAACACCGAACCACTGCAAGAATGAAACAAGCTTTAAGTAGACACGTTTATATTATTTAGTTTCCTCTCAGGTTTCACTTTACTAACTCAAAAGAAGTTCTAGAGAATCATTTGTTTTCTTTAATTTTTCGGGAAAGAAGTGGATTCTGCAAATGAACATCCCAGCTTACCTTTAGGTTATATTCAGATTGGGATTGTTTTAGGAAACAGTTTACCTTGAATATCCATCATCTGAGCCTCGTGATTTAGCCCACGTTGGAGTGCGTCTTGATCTCATGGACTGACCAGCTTGACCTTGACTACTACTTGCTGATGAAGAATGTGACGTTGATCCGTCGAAACTTGGGCTTGGGTCGTTCATACATGGGTAATCCTCTTTTGGCAATTCTCCCTTGCCAAGTTTCTCTACGAGTTCCTGTCAAATTCCAGATTTGAAACAACAGTCAACACATGAATCTTGCATTATGCTAAAAACTAAATCAATTTGAGGCTATTGTCAACCTCAATCATGGGGTAGAATCTAGATAACTGCCATGCTGCTTCCTCTTGACGCTCTTTCCTGACAGCTCGTGTCTTCTGCAGCCATTAGTAAAGAATGTTAGGAAGATTCACATACATTTCAATATATAGATGGGGGCATTCAGAGATAAGATGTTACCTTGTGAAGATCAAACTTCAAGGTGAAACCTCCCGGGGTATTCTTTTTGGCATCGACGGCTGAACCAAGTAATCTCATATTATTTACAGCGCTCATGTCATCAGATGAGAGTTTTGATCTTTTTCACCTTCAAACTTTTCAGGGTAAATTGTTGCAAGGATCATCAACAGGCGTAACTTGCCTTCACGACTTGCCTCCTGTACATGAGTTTAAAAATCATAAAGCTCGACAACTCAACATCTCATGAAATATTACTACTCAAAAATTTAATTACATCCTTCATCCCAGCATCACCAAAGACAAGGTCTTGTTCAAGTTGTCCAATCTCCCGAAGTCCCTGCTCTCTGATAAGGTCGTTGATTTTCCTAGCAATCTGCACCGATAAGAAAGAGTTATGTGAATTTAACGCTCAGGAAAAAAATATGCCAAAGAAGCTATAAATCTGGACATCTACAGACAGTTCTTCAGACACTAAATCCTGTGAACTGTCAAATAGATGTACAGAGTGCTTCAGACACTAAATCCTGTGAACTGTCAATTAGATGATGTCTATTAATACAGCAACTGTGTGTGGCAATACCTAAAGTTGAAGGTTCTAAGAGTCAAGGATACAAACTAGAGGCATATCAGTTTTTAAATGGAGGTGAACGCAAAAAAAAAAAAAAAATACAAGGGAGCGTTGCACATAACCACGGAAGTACCTCTACATGGAGAGAGAGCTTGTCTATTTGTTCAATGCTTGAGCCATCTTCAACAAATCCCTCGTTGAAAGCTCGCCACCATCTCTAAAAAATAAGACACGAAGAAAATTGATTAGAAATGAGAGAACAATCGAAAGTACTTCTCCAATCAAATAAAGTATTCTACGTAGATCAACTCATTATGTCATAGTGTGATCAAACTGAATAACTAGAAGACATACAATAGTGTGATCAATGGCAAAAAAATTCCAAGTTCATCTGCAAAATGAAAATCAAATAATACCTTATCCATATGGCTCTATAAACACATACTCCCTCCATTCCATAATATAAGATGTTCTAGAGAAAATTGATGTTTCAAAATATAAGATGTTTTGATATTTTTAATATACTTTAACTTTATAGAAAACCGGTTGACCAATAGTATTTTAGTTTATTATTTATGATTGGTTAATTTATTTTAAATTTATACTATCAATGATGTTATCTTTTAAGAAGTTAAGTTTCTTAATTCTTGTGCTTTGGATAAAACATCATATATTGTGGAACGGAGGGAGTATACTATAGTAATTAAATTCAACAACAATAATCAGTATACACAAGAAAGTAGGGAGTTTTGCAATACACACCTCTCTTAATGCTCCAATCCGAGGCAATACACTCAAATCTTTCTTGATGTGACCAACCAGCTCCTTAGAAACTGGAGAACTTAAGAAAACAAATTCCCTTCACCGATGAAGAGGAAGAAAGAAGAAGATCAGTGTCTTGACGAAACTGTCTTTAGGATAGATCCGGTAACTAAGAGGGAATATGATTTCCTTACTTCTTGTACAATGGTGATTTTCCAGACATATCTGCCAAGAACTTTATGATGCTGATGAAATAGAGTAAACTATTAATATAAGATGAAATAACGAATGTCAAATGTTGGAACGTTGTAGCTACGAAATATCAAAGATAAATTACTTCTCTTTAGTAGGCTGGATGAAGTAAATGGCATCCAATGAAGGTAGAGGTTGTCTTCGTTTAAAAATGTCTTCAACCACTACATAGAAATGATATGTTACACTAGTTAAGTTATTCCCATGTAAAAGCATTATACAGAAATATAATCCTTGAATAACAAAACATGATTCTTACATGAAACTCTTTCGTCCAAGATGTCAGCCATTTTGCAGGCGCACGACATGATCTTGACAGTGAGTTTGTCCACGATTAGTACCTACAATGCAGAAAGAGAAGAAAAAAAACATCAAGTCAACCTTAAAGAGCCAATAACATAATCTAGCCAGCCCAGGGTGGAGAAGACGTGAAAAATGCCTTCCAGGTGGATTTTGAGCTCCCAGTCTTCGCAGATCTAAGCATCTCATACAAGAGTCCTGGAACAATAACGAAATGTAAAAGATCAAACACACTACCAAAAATATTGAAAGAAGAAAAAACTAAAGAGACTTAAGAGCAAATGAGCAGTGAGAGTAGCCGAAGCCTCAGGGATTATAGACATGAACGACACCTCATATAACTCTACAAAGTAACTACAATCAAAACCCATAACATTCGAAATATACCATATGGTTTTCCTCATATACATAATCAAAATCCTTTCATCGTCACCATCACAAACATTTTTAGCTCCAGTGACTTGCCTCGTTAAACAACCACACGGCTTACTTCTGAGTAGATCAACAGTTCGATATAACTCGCAGATATCCACCACCAAGCATAGTACCAATTCATAAACCTCATCTTATATCTTAATCCCTAACATTGGAGCACAATTCGATATTACAAGCAACATATGTCCCAAAAAAAGAAAAACTGTCTAAATGCAAATTCCGCTACAAGTCTTAGCCATTGAACTCACATACTCTGTTGGGGCGGTTTGAATCGGTAAAATCGAAGATTCGATTTAGACCGGGTCTTTTGTAGTAACTTTTCGCGCGTTTCTAGTCAATTAATCGCTGTTGCTTATTTTGACGAGACCGTTAACCACACCGTTTTGTGGACTACATAAATTCAAATATATAACTTACTTCAAATCCTAAACCTATATCTTCGGTAACTGAGTCTATATGCTATGTGTTCAAAATTATTTGAAGCTATTTCACGTTGATAATTCAACATTTTTAAGGTTTAATGTTGGTATTGAGATTTCAACGCCTTTTTAAACCTATCACACTAACCACACGGGCCCCTCACTTTTACCAAGACTAATCATAAGACTTATGTGATTAGAACATGTGTTTTATGTACACATGTGTCTATGTAGCTAGTAACGACAACCATTAGATGCCACTGTGAACTACATGTAACCAGCTCCAAGAATATGAAGCCAACGAGAAAACGCCAATATTTTACTTTACTATATTTTTTTTCTTGAATCAGTTTGACAAAACCAACAAAATAATCATTGCAAACGTTATTTAAATAGAACCAGTTTTAAAATATTCACTTGCAAAAGTCATTCCATTTTTTCTAGTTACAAACTCACATAACAAAACAAAACCCACCAATTTTATAACCTCCTTAATCAACGTAAATTAACCTCCTAATGGGCTACAAATGCTTATTAAACTCTTGTCGTTTTTACTACATTCCTTGACCACACGGTCTTCCACCAATTCCTCCTCCTCGCTGCCGCAATGCTTGCAAACCACCTTGCACTTAACTACACTACCACACACATAAAACCCAGGCTGAACCATCGCTCTAACCACACCCTTATACCGGTCCCCACCGGTTTCCTCCATATAAACCGGATCAAACCGGTCATCTTTCTCCACTCGAAAGATCTGCAAACCCGGGTTCACCGAGTTAGCCAATAGATGAACCAACCAAACACTCTTCGACGCACCAAAGAAAGCCTACAAAATAAATAAATAAACGGTTCAATAAACCAAATGATAATTAATAAACCGTGTTCGGTTTACTACATTTACCTGTAAAAGCGGTTCAGGCCAAGCTCTGTTCCAACAAAGCATCGAAACGACGTCACTCATCTTCCGATCACAGAACCGACTAAACTCCTCGGAGAAATGCTTCGTCCCCCTGCTCAAAACCTCGTCCCACGTTAGCTCCATCAAGACATTAAACGAAGCGTAATTAGACTCGCAACGATCAATCGGGTTCAAAATCCGGGTCGACCCGTTTTTCAAAAACCCGGAAGCTTCAAAATCCTCAAAGAAGGCTCTGCTCAAAATCGCCTCGAGGTAAAAGATCAGACTCTTAGGGTTCTTCGCGAAAGAGTTGATCTTGACATCGAAAGGCTGGAGGAGAAGAGAGAGACGCTCGTAGACTTTCCCACCGACGGTACGTAGCTGCGAGGCGAGAGCTCTGCTCAAGGCCCTGATGGAAGAGCGAGATTCCGACACTGAGACGAGGAACTGCTGGATGATCCTGTCGTTGAACGCGTCTTTTCGGACAGGGACACTCTGTTGTTTGTTGTTCTTGTTGTTGTTGTTGTTGTTGTTGTTGTTGCTACATTCGTCGAGACCGGACTTGAGGTTGTGGCAGTAAATCTCGAGTTTGTTTAGCTTCTTCTCGAGCTCCGACATGGATGTTTTAAGACGGGAAGCTTCGGTGACGGCGTCTTCTTTCTTCTTGGTGGCTTGGATTAGTTTATGGGAAAGCTCGGCGACGGCTAACCGCCACTGCTCTTCTCTGGAAGCGTCTAAGGCGGAGGAGGAAGAGCGGGGAGGAAGCGAGGAGGGTTTGGGGGATCGACGTGTGAGGGATTGGAAGATGGATTTGATGATGAGGTTGGGGCTGGAGATGAAGGAAGGGTTGTTGCTTTCGAGAGGGACGACGGAGAATTTGTCTCGGTGAGAGTGGTGGGGACGACACTTGTTGCAGGAGACGGCTCCTGTGTTGTCGTCGTCGTGTCGTTTTCTGGTTCCGTTGTGGTGGAGAGGCGTTAGACTGTGTTGGTAGTTCTCGTTACTGCGGCGGTTGTGATGGCGACTTGGAGTAGCGGAAGAGCCGCCGTCGCTGCTTGGTGTTGCTCTGTTTTTGTATCTTTCTTCTTGGAAGTCGTCTTCTTCGCATTCTGGTATCTGAAAGAACAGAGAGATGTTATATAAACATATATAAAAACGTGATTTTTTCTTCATTTTACTCAGTCAAAAATCTTTCCAGAATGTAGAAAAAAAGAATTTTTGGATTTTAAGAATCCTCAATGGCATGATATGAAGTTCTAATGGAATCATTGAGATCAAAATGATGAAACTTTTGACGATAAAGTTATCAGAACAGTTTCTTCCCACTTTTTTTTTCTTGGACCGGAAAAATAATTGTCTGTAACTCTCTCAAGAAAACAGGCAATAACAAGAAGAATCCAGCTATACCATATCAATTCCACGTTTTTTTGGAATAATAGAAGAAAAACACACTTTTTATCATAACAAAACAAAACAAACAAACTTGAAGGTCTGTGTTTTTTTTTCCTGCGTTTACCCCGGGAAACACGACGAATAGAGATTCGAGTTAGACTTACGGGAGTGAAATGAAGGGATGGATGAAGAGATGGTACAGGAGATTTGGAAGGAGAAGTTGAAGACGACGGAGCCATTTTTTTTTTCTCTCTTCTTTCTTTTTTTTTTTTTTTGGCGTTAATACCTCACTTTTATATTTATACACCCACTACTAGAGTCTCATGATAATATAAAAAACTCCAAGTCAAATTTTTAATGAAACACTAGAATAATAGTAAAATGATGAGTTATTCTTGGATTCATGTTTCACCATCCAACCGAATTAAATTATTTCATATTTAATATTTAAAAAAATAAAATTTTATTAAATTATATTATTTTTAAAAATAAAAATATAAAATATATAATAATAATAATTAATAAAAATAAAAATATATATTTTTTAAAGAAGATATTTTCACACTAAACCCTAAACTCTAGTCCTAGACTCTAAATTCCTAAATAAATTATAAATCTTTAGATAACTTTTATAAAAAAAAATTTTTAACAAAAAATATTTTAACACTAAAACACTAAACACTAAACCATAAATCTTTGGGTAAATCATAAACACTAAACCTTAAATTTTAATCCTAAACCCTTGAGTAAATCATAAACGCTAACTTTTAAAACACTATAAAATTTATTCAACGATATATGATTTACTAAGGAGATTACGATTTATGATTAGAGTTTAGGATTTAGTGTTAAAATATTTTTTTAAATAATTATTTTCGTTTTTATTAATTATTATTTTTTGTTAATTGTTTTTGTATTTTTATTTTTAAAATATATTATAACTTAATAAATTTTTGTTTGCTTTTGAAAAAAAATATTAAATATAAAATAATGCAATTTTATTAGATAGTAAACATAGAGGTTCATCCTATGGGATAAACTCAAAAATAAGTCTACAGGGATTATCTTATTTTTGGTGTTGAGGCGGTTAGCTAAGTCAAATATTAAATTTGTTTCCATCTTAGTTCAAGCCAAGTCCAAAGCGTAGACTATGCTCTGTAATAGACATGTTTTGTTGGCTCGCTCTGACGATTTTATTTCTTTGTATATTCATTTGAATTCCCCTAATATTCAACACATGGATCCGCCAGTTTCGTCATATACAAATGGTCCAATGGCGTTTGTTCTTTTAATTCATCTTGTTTTGTTTTTGTTTAGCTCTGCAGGTTTTCATAAGCACTTGTTCTAACTAATGTTTTTTTGTAAAAAGGCTATGTTTCTAACTAATGTTACTTTTCGTGATTTTTTTTCCAAACTTTTCAATTTAGTATGGTCAAAATAATATAGACTTACGTGTGTACGTGTGTATATATGAAATGTAATGATTGTAGTTTCCTGGGATATGTAAAAGGGCTGTTTGAATTTTCTTCTCTTTTCATGTTCTTTCACTGTCTATGAATCATCTCACCAGTCACCACCTTGTGATTATTTCTTATGAAACGAACCACATAGTTTTGCTAAAAGCTATTAACATCTGCACAAATAGCAGAAGAACAACAAAAAAAATGTTGTTGAAGGAATAACAACCACGCACAATGGTTATTGTTAAACAAACACATCTCAAAATAAGACCTACGTATAAGTTTACTCACCTAGTAGTACTCTCGTTTCATTTCCAAATCTTGGTAAAACATATCCGTGAAATCATACAAAAAACAAACAAATGTATACATACGCGATACATGTGTATATTTACGGGTGTAACGACAACTAGGATAAGACCCGCGCTTTGCGCGGGATGAAACTATTATTTTTATTATGTTTTTAAAAATGAAACAATAGTTCGGTTTCATTCGGATTAGAGGTGTTCAATCCGGATATCGGGTTTCGGTTCGGCTCGATTTTTTGGTATTTCGATCATTAAAATATAACTACTATTCTAAATCTATATGTACTTCAGTTTGATTTGGTTTATATACCATCAGTTTTCAGTTTATTCAATTTTATACCAAAAAACATAATTATTTAGTTTGAGATCATATTATATATTACACAAATATATAATATGATCATATTTAGAGTCATATTGTGACAGAATCATTTATTAAAAAATATTATATATTTAAATAAAAGAATAAAAAACAAAAAAAAACTTTTATCATCTAATAAAATGATCAAATCTAGAATTAATATCAAAACACTAAATTTTGAAAATAAAAATAAAAAAAACAAAACAGAAGCATGAAAGAAAAGTTTTTATATTCTTCCATATTTAGTGTTCATCAAACCAATATGTCTTCGATTGAACACAACTCTGTTTGTTTAAAGATAAAAAAAACTTGTAAAGAATTTCAACTAATTGTTGTTCATAATATTTATAATCTTTACTTCAATTTAGTTACTGTTAAAAAAGCAAAAGATCAAAATAAGAAGTCCTAGTTGTAATAAATTGTTAGCTATTTACAAATTATAATTATAGTTCAACTCATGTAACAAATAGATATTCATACGTCGTTATAAATATATACATATTTACATGTTTCAGTTTAATCGATTATAAATCAAACCATATCCAAATCCTATGGTTTTTTTAAAATCACATCTATTCGGTTTGTATGGTATATACCAAAAATAACCATATTATCGATTGTTAATATCTTTTAAAAATATAAAATTAAAAAAGAACTAAGATATTTAAATCATTGATAACAAAAAATTTCAATGTGAAAAATTTAATAAGTTTATAATTTATAAATGTTCTTGAAAATTTATTGAAAATTTTGAAATTAANAAATAACCATATTATCGATTGTTAATATCTTTTAAAAATATAAAATTAAAAAAGAACTAAGATATTTAAATCATTGATAACAAAAAATTTCAATGTGAAAAATTTAATAAGTTTATAATTTATAAATGTTCTTGAAAATTTATTGAAAATTTTGAAATTAAAATATTTATGTAATCTTATATGGTATATAGTTTAATCTATATATATATATATATATATATATTTGTTTTATTATTGAATGATACTTTTTACTTATATGGTTTTAAAATCATGTATATCTTTTTATAGTAAAATGTTAAACTATGGATCATTAATTTTTAACATAATAATTTTAATAGTTTAGTTATTTATTCTCGTTTCTTAAAATTCAAAATATAACCTATACGAAAAAATATAAAGTTTAATTTTATAGCTAATTTGATTGTTTAATTTATTTTAATAATATAAAATTAAAGAAAGATGATGGAGGATATATAAACTGTTATCAAATATTTATTATTAGAATCATTAAGTGTCATATATATATATAGATTAGTCATTTATGGTAATTCCGTAGGTTTTATTTATGGAAATAAAATAAAATAGTAATTATATCTTAGGGAACAATCATTAAGTGTCATATATATATTAGTCATTTATGGTAATTCCGTAGGTTTTATTTATGGAAAGAAAATAGCATATCATATCATTATATCATATAGTTTGACTAACTAATGTATATAGCAACCTATAAAAATCCAATGTGGACTTACTTATTTTTCAATTGAATCTAATTGATTACCTAATTGAATGACACCTATGCATTGAGGTCTCTTTTAATTAATACAAAATTGAGGTTACATCTTTTCAAATGTTCCTCAATTAATATATAGGGGATTCCCGTCAGAAAAAAAAAGAGAGAGGGAGAGGTGTTCCTTTTACTTTTTCAATCTTTTCCTTTTTTCATATAAAGTGTCTAAAACAATCGGCTATATTATTGAAATGCATATTGCGTTGCACATAAATTTTATATTTGCAAGTTATGGTATGAATTATAATACTGCATCTATTCTAATTTGAAATGGTTTTGTAAGATTTATATCCCGATCACACTCTATTTCTGATTCTAAAATAAACTTTGGTGTATGAATATTTCTATCTTATTTCACTTCTCACTTTATAAATAGAGTAAAATTTGATTTACTTTAGAAACATAGTAATTTATTATTTTTTGTTCATTAACTACTTTAAAATATAATAACATTAGAGTAAAATTCAACTCCATTATATAATTGGTTTTGAAGTTCTGGTTGGTGCTTAAAAACATTACAGTATGATTAATTGATAGAGTAGTTTTTCGTGGCTGTGGATAAGATAAAAATGATAATACACTGTACAATGTAGTACCAGTTCTTATCCCATTACATCTTGTACAAAAACTTATGATTATTAAAAAAAAATACTTGGTTTTGAATATTTCAATCAATTATATTTCGTTATCTGCATGTTTACCGCCCCATTCACTATTTTCATTAAGTTTCACATTATGTGATCCATAGAAGATTGTTTTTTTCATAATAAATAATTTAGATATGCAGTTCAATAATTCATTAGATCTCGTGAATATGAAAGAAAAAAACATAGACATCAAACTGCTTAAAATGAGAGATAAGAAAGTCTGTATTTATTATTTGTTGCTTAGTAATAAATATAGAGTAGGGGGAATTGTCACATTAAATACCGAGTGAGAAGAAAGCAGCATCAAATGCAAATCCAGCTAACTCATTTATGAGATTAGTTGACCCACATAACCAAACAAAAACATATTTTGGCCTATGACATGTTAGATTGGTGCGCCTTATTCATTGGTTCTTTGTAGCTCCCAACTTTAATTCTCATTCTATATTTCATGTGATTGTGGTTTTGAAATAAATAAACAAGCATGAGAACTGAGGAAGCAAAGGATGTATCAAATAGAGTAATGAAAGTTTCAAGCATTCTTGGGTGATATTGTGTAAAAGCTAGCAATACAAAAATAAAAATAAAACAAACGGCATGTGATAGGTAATAAATGGGACAATGAGAGGGTAAGATCGTACAAAAGATAATAAATTTTGAAGAGGTTTTTGGTTCTGGGCTCTGAAAGCTGGCTGACTTTGCGTGACATGTCCATGTACACCGGTTGGATCATGTGCACGTGACGCCTCTTTACATGCTTTCTCATTAATTTTCTCCATTTTTCTTATTTTATCAGAAATTTTCTCCATTTTAATAAAAAATAATAATACTAATATCACTGAGCGCATTAAGATGGTCAGACCTCTCAGGATCCGGACAGCCCAACACCGCAGGGAACTTCGGATCACGACAAACGCAATCGCATCTGTTTCTCTCCCCATGTTGTATTTTGCCCAACGTACATTTAAACACATTAAACCGTTTTTATTTCTTCGCTTTTGAATATTGAAATGAATATTTCAATAATACCAACAAATATCCACAAAAAGCCTCTTTCAGTTTTAGGTAGTTGGGTATGAGTTGATAGATCGAGGTTCAGGCGTTTTGAGTCCAACAAAAGCATTATTAATTGAAAATTAACATATGGAATCTTCAAAAGCTTAAACCTGAAGTGGTTTAGTTTTTCCTCTTGTAAGTCAAAAAAGTCATCGACTAGTGGAGAAGAGTTCTATTATAATGTGATGGGCTCAAGTAATCTTAAAGAACTGTTCTCGAGCCCAGTCTGATGAAAGTGAGCAACTTAGATGAATATCTTAAGTGGTCGGTTCTCGATGAATGCTCTTTGACCCAATGGATCACCTTTTTGACAAGTTTGAAGCTCATTCACAGGAAAACGCACTATCGGAATCATTCATTCATCTTCTATTTATTAACTTTCAGATACTTCCCCGTTTAGTTGACTCCATCACATGTTCCCTATCTAACAGAAGAACATTGTTATATAACCAAAAAACCATGCATGCAATACCCTTTCACCGTATAAGCAATATGGCTCTTTCAGAGAAGAATGGTGCCAACTAAAGTCATTTAAAAATGCAATTCATCAACCATTTGCCTCTATTTCAACATTGTTTCATGTAAATGTTCTAAACTGCTTCACTCTTCATCCTAAAAGTTATCTAAGACAGAGGAGAAAGTAATGAGAAACAACAAGTTTTTGCTCAATCTATTAACCAATGCAAGTTTTTTCATATTCATTAGTTGTAGCTGAGACCTAAGACAAGTATGATACAATAACATCTATGGAAGTTTATGTACAAAGTGATATAACAAGAATCCAAATAAACATATTGTCTTTGTCTCTTTAATATACTTTCTAAACACTAAACACATGTTCTTCTCCTGATCTATGATCAATATGCGTGATCCATCTCCTCTTACCCTTTTCGATCTTCCCCAAGCTCCTAGCCGCAACGTGAGCAATCTCAATACCTCCGGTGACCGGAAGAGTCACAGTTCTAACAACTTCCCTCTCTCTTAACGCCCTTCTCCAGCTAAAACCCGAAGAACTTCTCGAATACCCGTTTCTACAAACCACAACCGCTCCTCTGCTTCCAAACGCAGCGTTCCTCAACGCAGCCGCTGCAAGTTCCTTGTGCCGCCAATCCACGACCAAGAAGTCGATTCCTTGTATGTCCTTCATCGCGTTTTCGGGTTCTTGGGATATGATCGTCTCTGGTAAGTTCAAGGGAGATGAAGATTCTTGAATGGCTTGGAGATAAGCCGACTCTGTTCTCGTGTTTTGTACGATGCATATGTGTTTCGCGTTTGCGTGTTGGCTCGCGACGTTTAAGCCGATACTCGAGGCTATTGCGTCTCCGTATGACCATGTTTCCACGATCAGCTTCGCGTTCCAACCAGCCGCCATCGCAGATATTAGCTCAGCCGCGTCAGGCGTTTCAAGATTCTCGCACTGATAAGATAAAAAGCAAAACACACATCGTTACGTTACAAGAGTAATTCAAGATTCAAGAACTTATAATCAAGACATGAAAGAGTTCGTTTCCGATACGATTCACCGGAAACAAGAAGACTTACGGACTTAACGGTGTCTAAGTAGGCCTTAGATGCAGTCTCCGGAGACCAAACCAATTTCATTTCTTCTTCCTGCTTACGTCTCTTGTGGTTCTTCGTGTTGTTTGGGTTTAAGTCTTGCTTTTATAGTAACACTTTGACAAACATAGGAAGTCTCGTTTCGTCTTTTTGTTTAAAAGGTATTTGATTATGGCCCATGTATTTTTGTTCTGGTTTCGGTTTGAACCCCAAGGCTTTTGAATTAATCAAGTACATCCAGATTGAACTGTTTTCATATCCTTTAATTGAAATATATGTGACTATAAACTCTGAAATGAATAGCTAAATGAGATATAGAGTTCAAGTGTTATACTAAAACTGTAGTTAAGGGAAAGATTAAGAAATTAGGTAATATGTGGGGTGGGGGGGGGGGGAGATAAATACTTAAAACTAATTGGGTTTTGTTATTTTGTTTTCCTCTCTGAATATAGAAAGCTTTAGATTTGGATTACAACGAGATTCAAACTAACTAGTCTATGTTTAGTCCAAAACAATTTATCTACTGTTTTCTGTTAAAGTAACTAGGTTTGGAATATTCATTTGGCTGGTATAATATTCTCCAATACTGACTTGCTATTGTAAGATTACATAACTAAAACCAATTACTTCGGACTAGTTAGTTTAACGAACTTGGCATGTTGTTCCTTTTAGTACATTGACTGATTTATACGGAATGGTTTTTAGCTAAGTGGTACTCTGTTTCATTCATATAACACCCACGCCATGAATTCATAATCAAGCCAACCAACATAATATTTACATTTTTTGTATCTTTTCAATAATATAATATCTAAATGGTGACACAACAAATAACTATGTTACACGTCTTGGCTTTTGTTTGGCAGGTGTAAGCTTGTTCATCGACTAAAAACCTGATAGTTGCTGGAATTATAAATTATATATGAACACGTCCTCTACTCTTAAGACATCTAGTCTATATCATGCAGTTAATGTGATGTATGATGTTGGATAATATATGTGTCACTGATGCAACGTGTACAACAGTCCTTGTCCATGTTTAGTGTGAAATCATACATCAACATTGGTTGTTATCTAAATGATTTAAGTTATTGGCACTTGAGTGATCGTTAAAATACTTTGGATAATCTGTCCTCAGTTAAATATAAGGTTTATAGTGATTAAAACTCCCAACTATTTTTAAATCGGATAAAAAAACTTCAACTAAATTTTTTATGTTTTTAAACCTCCAACTATTAAACCGTTAATGCCGTTAACCTTCCGTTATCAAAATTATTTTTTCTTAATGGAGACCCGTTAAATCGAAACACCGCGTTTCATGTAATTTCAAAAACGACAGAAGGTTCTTACTATCAATATATATTTTAGTGATTTAAACCCCCAACATAGAATTTTATATTTTTAAAACCTCAACTATTAAATCTTTATTGCTTTTAACCCTGTGTAAACAAAGTCATATTTTCTGAATGAGAAACCGTTAAATTGAAACACAGAGTTTCATGTTCATATAAACGATAGAAAATGTTTAAACCCCCTATATCAATGGGCAATGACAATCACAATTATTAAATTAACGGTTTTAATTTAACGGTTAATTAAACTCTGAACATGAAACTACCTGAACATGATATAGGGGGTTTAAACATTTTCTATCGTTTATATGAACATGAAACTCTATGTTTCAATTTAACGGTTTCTCATTCAGAAAACATGACTTTGTTTACACAGGGTTAAAAGCAATAAAGATTTAATAGTTGAGGGTTTGAAAATATAAAATTCTTTGTTGGGGGGTTTTCTATCCGATTTAAAAATAGTTGGAGGTTTAAATCACTAAAATATATATTGATAGTAAGAACCTTCTGTCGTTTTTGAAATTATATGAAATGCGGTGTTTCGATTTAACGGGTCTCCGTTAAGAAAAAACGATTTTGATAACGGAAGGTTAACGGCATTAACGGTTTAATAGTTGGAGGTTTAAAAACATAAAATTTTAGTTGAAGGTTTTTTTATCCGATTTAAAAATAGTTGGGGGTTTTAATCACTATAAACCCCTAAATATAATAATAGATAGTCTCACTGGTAATGGAGATAGTCAAAGATAATCTGTTAATCTTTCCTCGGGAGTGTTGGATGCTTTTTTTTTCCCATCCAGTGATAATGGAGATTGTCAAGGATAATGCATAAAATTCAAACGAGTGAATCACAACTCCAAGACCACTAAAGAAAGATTTAAAGTATAGAACTCAAACATGTGAGTATTACCTAAGTGGAAGGTGTCTTTTAAATCACATGATGATATCATATGCTATAAGCATTGATGGTGACCAATGCATTTAACCTATTGTCTTTGCGCCCCTTAAATCCAACAATGTGGGACAAATCTAACCTTTTTATAATTCCTATGTCACTTTGACAATGCCTCTATGAGCTGTAGTTTAAGGAAATATTAGGTCATGTTTATTCCTTTCCACCCCCACTTTCTCAAAACTTAGTGGGATTAAAGCATTTCAAGCAATTGATTTTCCAACACATTTTCAACATCCAAGTTTTAGATGTACATACATAAATTGGGCCAGGCTTAAATGGGCCTGAGTTTAATGGGCCTCAGATCTACACATCCGTTAAAAAGCTGCAAACGGCCACCACACATATACTCCGATCTCAATTTCGCTGTACAGAAAAAAGCTTTGATTCTCCAAAAGAGAGAAAAGAAAACAAAACCCGACCCGACAACCCGGAAGAATCAAGCCAAAAAAATGGGAAAGGACGGTCTAAGCGACGACCAGGTCTCCTCAATGAAGGAGGCGTTCATGCTCTTCGACACCGACGGCGACGGCAAAATCGCGCCCTCGGAGCTCGGGATCCTGATGCGATCCCTCGGCGGGAACCCGACCCAAGCCCAGCTGAAATCGATAACCGCCTCCGAAAGCCTAACCGCGCCCTTCGATTTCAACCGATTCCTGGATCTGATGGCGAAACACCTGAAGACGGAGCCGTTCGATCGCCAGCTAAGGGATGCGTTCAAGGTGCTGGATAAGGAAGGCACGGGGTTCGTGGCGGTGGCGGATCTGAGGCATATCTTGACGAGCATCGGGGAGAAGCTGGAGCCGAATGAGTTTGATGAGTGGATCAAGGAGGTGGATGTTGGATCTGATGGGAAGATCAAGTATGAGGATTTCATTGCTAGGATGGTTGCTAAGTGAGATCAATTGTTTGAATTTTGAATTTTGAATTTTTTTTTTTTACATGAAGTTTGACTATTTATGCTCTTGTGGTTTCGTTGGGGTTTGGATCAGTTAATCTGATTAATTCCAATGTGTTTGCTGTTTTTTTTTTATTCTGTTTAACTAACTCTATTGTTGTGTGGTGGTGATTCGTAAGTTTATTTTGAAGAATGTTTATTTAATCTACGTTAAGTTTCACTCTTATGCCCTTATAAATTCGTTGGTTTTTGGATCATGGAATCTAATTGAGTCCAAGGCGTTTGCTTCTAGCTCCTTTCATCTTGATTTAGAAATTGGTTTCAAGTTCTGCATCATACGATCGACTGTTTAATAAGCAGAGTATCCTTTCTTGATTGGGATGCTATCTTCTTGTTTCATACCCTTTGCGTTGTGCGATTTGTGGCCACTGACTAGGATTGTTGTGTTGTTATCTGAAATGTAAAGTGTAATATTTCGAAGTGATTTAAAGATCTTGTGAGCTTTTTGGTATTGTTCACATGGTGTGGAGGGCTTGAAGGCAATCATGTGCTGTTGGGTTTTTTGCTGTTTTGTAAATGAGAAGTATAGAAGTTTCTTCTCAGCTGATAAATATTGAATCAGCTTATGCCCTGATATTGTAGTTCAGGTTGTTTTGTTATGTTAGTTTTTGTCTCGGCCTCTTGGTTCTTGGCTCTGGAGTTGGTTTTTGTTATGGTCGTAGTTGTGTTAGATATAGATGGTAAGACAGCCGAAATTTTGATCTGAAGGAAGTTTGAAATTCTGAAATCAATTGAACTTTGCAAAAGAATGAAAGCAAGATTTGGTTACATACAGAGCCTCGTTTATACTGTTCAAATAAGTATACAGAGTTTCTATTCTTATACTTTGTATCTCCACACTAAAAGTTTGTTTCCTCTTTGATTGTGGTAGCTCATCGTGGCCTCCTTCCAAAGAGAGTAACATCTCGTGAAGCAAGCCGGTTTCCTGAAATGGCTACTGTTTGTGTGTGCTATCCGTATTTGGGATTGTTTTATTTTTGGTTACAAAGTGTGAAATGCCTTTCTAAGCGACACTGATGCAATATCCTTTTGTTGTTGTTGAGTTGTGTTTTGGCGCGCTCATTGTAATGTATTTTTGATTTTGAAAACTTTTCTACTCTTTTCCTTCTACGTGAGGATAACTTAAGCTTGTGAATTTGGTGAAAACTAGTTTGGTTGATTTTCTGCCAAATGGATAGTGAAACTGTAGATATAATAGAATGAACACCATAGACACGATACCCGCGCAATGCCCTGTTAGTAAATTATCTCTTTGGATCTATGCTAACGTTTGTTGTTTTCTATCTTTGAGAGGACCTCTATCTCAACGGAGCAAATATAGGACTTTGTCTCCTTTCCAGATAAAGATCAAAGAAGATCCATGCACTCTTTTTGAAGAGTCTCTATACACTGGAGTCCAAAGCTGGGAGGATCTGCACTCTGGTTTGGAAGGCTGACCTTGTAACTTGTAATTACTTACCTAATCTGAAAACAATTGGTTAGATCTCACTTATCTATAACTGTTTTTAGTTTGCAAAATTTGACATGGGTCGTTGACCCCCCTGATTACATACTGCCTCCGCCACTGATCTTGCAGTGTTTAAGCGTGTGTGTTTTGTGCAGAGGTAAATCTTGCTGTTCCTAAGCAATATACTCATCATGTGATTGAATTCATACCTCTGCTCCTAGGGTTCTTACATTTTGAGCTATCCATGCACATTTGAGATTTTTTTTTTGATTCTTGAAGGTATTTTGTCCACTTTGTGAAAACTAGAATAACAGGAAAGAATATGAGCTGTTTACCATTGATAGGCAACTAAGTCAGACCATTTCGGCAAGAGGACCTGTATATGATGCCTAAAGTAGCATCTTTGGGACTCATACACTAAATCAAAGTTCTTCTCTTTATGCTCTTTGCACTTTGGTAGACAGCATTGATGTCAAAAAAACAAAAAAAAAAAGAAGGTAGACAGCATCTTGTTCCAAAATCCTCTGTTTAAAATTTTCTTAGCTTCTTATTTTGTTCTGAGAATCTCTCTTGTCTGTGCAGGTTTTCACTTTGAGCTATCCACGTTTAATGCACTTGGAGGTTTTGATTCGTGAAGTTGACTGCGCACATGGTGTCAAATATGTGAAACGTATACTAATGGAAAAGTATAGTATATGGTTGTTTCCAGAAACATGGAATAAAGTGGGGACCATTTCAGGAGGAGGAGGAGGACGCTTAGATATTTTGACTTATATGATGCTTAAATTACCATCTCTGGACTCATGCACTTGCAAAGCTCTTCTCTTCATATGCTTAAAATATTCAAAAATATTATTCATATCTTTATTTCTTCCTTTTCGGATATTTGCTGAGCTTCTTGTTGTCGCGAGCAGTGAATCTTTCTCTGTTGTGCAGCGATGGGAGGATGTTTCTCGGTCTCGATGTCATGTGACCAAATGGTGAACCAGTTCTCCAAATGGTTATGCCTCAAGGGGAGTTATATTCACAACCTCGCTGAGAATCTAGTGTCTCTCGAGAAAGCCATGGGAGTGCTCAAAGCAAAGCGAGATGATGTTCAAGGAAGGGTACACAGAGAAGAGTTCACTGGGCATTGTCAAAGGCTTTCTCAAGTCCAGGTATGGCTTACGAGCATCCTTGCCATCGAAAACCAATTTAATGACCTTTCTAGTATTAGTAAGCTCGAGCTTGGAAGGTTGTGTATGTGTGGATTTTGCTCTAAAAATCTGAAACTTAGCTATCGTTATGGGAAAAGGGTTATCTTAGTATTGAGGGAGGTTGAGAGTCTTATCTCTCAAGGGGAATTTGATGTGGTGACTGAGGCAACTCCTAGATCTGAGGTTGAAGAGTTGCCTACTCAGCCCACGATTGTTGGTCAGGAAACAACGCTCGAAAGGGTGTGGAACCGTCTAACAAAAGATACAGTAGGGATTGTGGGTCTGCATGGGATGGGTGGTGTAGGCAAAACCACCCTTCTCACGCAGATCAACAACAGGTTTTCGAAAACAGGCGAAGGATTTGATATAGTGATATGGGTTGAAGTGTCTAGAAATGCTTCAGTCCGTCAGATTCAGGAGAGCATTGCGAAAAAACTAGGCCTTGTGGGGAAAGAGTGGGATGAGAAAAACGACAAAGAGAGAGCTCTTGACATCCACAATGTTCTCAGGAGGAAGAAGTTCGTGTTGTTGTTGGATGATATATGGGAGAAAGTAAACTTATATGCTGTTGGAGTCCCGTATCCATGCACGGAAAACGGATGCAAAGTAGTATTTACCACCCGGTCTCGTGATGTATGTGGGCGTATGGGAGTTAATGACCCAATCGAAGTCACTTGTCTGGGCTCAGACAAAGCCTGGGACTTGTTCAAAAAGAAAGTTGGAGAAAACACACTGGAAAGCCACACAGACATTCCCGATCTCGCAAGAAAAGTCGCTGAGAAATGCCGTGGCCTACCATTGGCACTCAATGTCATAGGCGAAGCTATGGCTTGCAAGAGCACAGTACAAGAGTGGCATCTAGCACTTGACGTGTTGAATTCATCTGCTGCAGAGTTCTCAGGCATGGAAGATGAGATTCTTCCCATTTTGAAGTATAGCTATGATAATTTAAAGGGGGAGCAAGTGAAATCATGTTTCCTCTATTGCTGTCTGGTTCCTGAATATCGCCTTGATAAAGTGAGATTAATAGAGTACTGGATATGCGAAGGATTCATAGATGAAGAGGAAGGCAGAGAGAGGGCATTAAACCTGGGTTATGAAGATACTCGGGACTCTTGTACGTGCAAGTTTGTTGGAGGAAGAGACGTGTACATTATATTTGAAAATTCATGATGTAGTACGGGATATGGGATTATGGATAGCATCTGATCTAGGGAAGCATAGAGAAAGGTGTATTGTGAAAAATGACATTGGGTTACGTGAGATACCTAAAGTAAAGAATTGGAAGGATGTGAGAAAGATGTCGTTGATGCGTACTAGTATTGAAAAGATATCAGAGAGCCCCGACTGTCCTGAACTCACAACTCTCCTCCTCGGGTTGAACGGATACTTAACAACAATCTCAGGGGATTTTTTTCGGTCTATGCCTAGGCTACTCGTTTTGGATTTATCAGGTTGTGTAAATTTCTATGGATTGCCGGAGCAAATATCAAGATTGTCTTCTCTGCGATATCTTGGCTTGGCAGGGACGGAGATAGATCGACTACCTGATGGTTTCGAAGAGTTGAAAATGCTAATACATCTGAATTTGGAGTACACCAAGGTTGTGAGTTGTGATGGGATATCAAAATTGTCGAGATTGAGAACATTGAAACTAAAAGAATCCGAAGTGTGGCTAGATATGAGTCTAATGAAGGAGCTGCAGCTATTAAAGCATTTGGAGTTTGTAAGCATAAATATCTTTTCTACCTTGGTTGGGAAGCTATTATTATATGATCCCAGAGTAGGGAGATGCATTCAAAACATTTATACTGAGAACCGTTCAGAAGAAGAATCAGAGCAAGTATTCGTCTTGCCAGCTATGGATACTCTCTGTTGCATCTCCATATGTAAATGTGGAGGAAGGGAGATAGAGGTAGTAGAGAAGACACCATTGAACAAAAGTCCTACAAGTCCTCCGTGCTTCTCAAACCTCTCTGATGTGCAAATAAGAGGGTGTGATGGTCTTAAAGATTTGACGTGGCTGCTGCTGGTGCCAAACCTTACTTTCCTTTCTGTGTCACGGTCGAAACAACTAGAGGAGATAATAAGCAAAGATAAAGCTGCGAGTGTTTTGGAGGATAAGGAGGATACTCTTGTTCCTTTCAAGAATCTTGAAGTCATTGATTTGGCTGATTTACCCGAGCTGAAGAGCATCTTCTGGAGTGCTCTACCTTTTGAACGTCTGAAATATCTTTCCGTCTTCAAGTGCGTGAAGCTGAGAAAGCTTCCATTGGATTCAAGAAGCATCTTAAAGGTTGAAGAATTTGACTTTCTTTGCAGCGAAGAATGGATGCAAGGTGTTGAATGGGAGGACGAAGCCACGCGAAACCGCATCTTATCTTCATTTAAGCTAAAGTGCTAAACTTATCTCTGTAGGAGTGAGTGAGTATCCTCTTATGAACTTGTTTTCAAACTCTTTTTTTTTCTTTTTTTTTTTTGTCGGCGTTTTCAAACTCTTTTTAATTCTCATTTGTCCGAAATAACAATTCAATTGTATTACATGGTAGAATCAATCCAGTTCATTTCTTTTAACTAAAAAGTTATATATATATATATATATATTTTTTTTTTTAATACTGTTACTTACAACTTTGAATTTTATTTAAAAAAAGTAGAATGAAGCAACACAACGAATTATGCTTTAGTTTATAGTTACATTCATCCGGTTTAGACCGGTCTAAATAAGAACACTAGACAATGATTAGTTTAGACATGTCTAGATAAGAACACCAGCCAATGAGATCTCTCACTCTCATTCAAAGTGAATAAAATGTCGCATTGTGAAGATGGGACGTGGAAGGACCGCTAGATCAAACACATCAGAATCGTTGAAAGGCAACGGCCATAATTACGCGCCAGAAAAAAAAAGAAGAGAAAATGAAAGTCAGTTGGTCCTCATGCTTTTAATCTGTTTCTAGTCAGTTGAATTAAAACAAGAGTCTGAGATCAAGATGACTGCCTTTTTTTTTAGGTTTGTTGAAATGACTAATAACGTTGTAATGTGCTTATCTTTTGAAGTTGTTGTAGATCCTTAAAATCTCATTATAGTTGCATTGGATACTCTTTTTGTTGGCCCTGCTTTTTGATTGTAATGTGTGAATGGTGTCTTGCGAAATGAGTAATATGCCTTTACCTACTCCACAACTTCGCAAAGCAAACAAACCACCAATTATTAGCTATGAAAAGGTCAATCTGTTATTTCTTCTAATAATTTGGTTGAAATGGATTATATCACGATCATGATCTTCCTCGTAAATTCCCAATCCGTGTTTTAGGCATTGTCCTAACTAGTTTAGCTTTTGCAATTATTCAAAAGAATAAAATATATTCAGTGGACCTATGAGCTTACTTGTTTTCCCTTAAAGTCTCACCTTAACTATTACTAGTTTCATAGCCCCCGCGCAAGCGCGGAGCTGGGCACATTGACGAATCGTTACGTAGTCTTGTGTTTGAGATTATGAAACAAAATGAAGTCACACGGTATGATTAGTTTGATGTAACAACAATCGGAAAATTCAACCGGAAAAATCAGATGCGTGTTTTATTTTTTGTGTATATATTTTGTTTTAATTGTAATGTATATGAGTTTGAATGTAAAACG